ATTTAATGCGAGAGGACCAACCTGTCTGTGGGACTTTGGCATCAGATCCCATTAAAATAATAAAAGCAGGTGAGACGGGTGTTGCAGATATTCTCCACCATGAAGATTATAGAAGCATGGTCATTATATACATATTTGTGCCTTTGAGTCAGCAGTGACTCCTGGTGACTGCCTGGACAAGTCCCTGCAGTTTTCTTGGCAAGATTTCAGAAGTGGTTTCCCGTTTCCTTCTTCTGAGGGCTGAGAGAGAGTGACTGGCCCAGAGTCGCCCAGCTGGCTTTGTGCCTTAGGTGGGACTAGACCGCATGGTTTCCTGGTTTCTAGCTTAATGCCTTAACCACCTCACAAAAAACTGGCTCTCAAGCTCATTACTCAATTAAAAGATAATACATCTTATAGGATAAGTCCAGCAAATTGAACAAAATAAAATCAAAACCGAGATTTTGGAGAAGAATACCTTATAGGATATTACATTAGCGCAGCACAATTTCCTTTCAAAATCCAGTGTGAGATTTTGCTTGTCTCTTTGCTTGTTTGCTTTTACTGAGGAATCATAAAAATGTTTACCCCCACCCCCATCTTCCACCACCATCTTGGTATCCTAGTGTCTCAGGGAACAATTCTTTTCTGGAGTTCTTAACATCTGGATTTTTATTAAAAACTTTTATCCATTCCCTTCTTTCACAGATCAGGAACTCTGTACATTTCATTCATAAAATCCAGTCTTTCCATATTAGGAATACAGACAAACTAGAAGCATATGATATATGCTCCTTATATACTAGTCCAAGGAAGTGATCATTCATACCATGAATAACTGAGAGGATAACGTCTCCAATTCATGTTTTGCATCTTTAGCAGAAATAGTATGCTTCAAGAATTATTTTCATTTTGAAAATAACTATTATTGGCAAATCAGCTGCACCATGGCCCCTGAAGTAGTTCAGAAATAATTTACCATTAGGACAGTTTCTAAGAGACAAACCCAACTGCTCTTTAGAGGCAGAATTCTTATTGCAGTTGGGAGTGCTAAAGCAAGAATTTATTAAGTGGAGGCTATCCAGTCTCATTGGGGAATGCCAGTGTTGAAAAAGCAAACAGATGATCACGTGAAGAACTTGCAACTTGGATACAAAAACGGAGTGGCTGTATGACAGGTATACTGACACAATTATGCAGTGAATGCATTGCAATTTATGCATTGGGAACTGTTCAAAAATATACCAGAATGTGGTAGAGTGTCCTGTTTTGCACATAGAAGAACCAAGAATCTGAAGGATGTACTTGTTAGAAGTGATTTAGCTGCAAGTAATGTTCCATAACAAACTGAACTATTATAGGATCTTCCCACCCATGTAGTCATTGCACTTATTTTAAGTATACAAGAAGCTTTCCCCCCTTAAGCTAGAGGATTGACAGCGGTATTATTCAAAGTAGTGTTTCCCAGCACTGGCAACTTTAACTCCCAGAATTCCCCAGCCCACATGGTCATTGCTAAGAATTCTAGGAGTGGAAGCAAACGCATCTTAAAGTTGCAGAGATTGGGAAGCATGGGCTTGAAGGGTTCATCACATGCAAGAATGTAAATGTTTTATATATAATGTGACTGCGGGTGGGGTTTTTTAAGAGGACAAATAGACAAAATGGCTTGCAGAGGCATCTGAGCCCTTCTTCCCTCCAAATCCTTTGGAGACCCCCAACATTAACTTTTGGGAAGAATTGGTCCTAGATTTAGAAAAGGAGATATGTGCTGCAGAGACTATGTTGATGGCATTCAGCAGCAGTCAGGTCTGGCAGCCAGTCCCTCAGGAGCCCAAAACGCAGGTGAGCTGGAGTAGCCTAGGAATCTAGGTGCAGAGAGTGAGCAAGTGGAAATGTGGCCTGGGAGAGAAAGTTAGGGTTCGGTGGTGGATGCTGTCCAGAGAGGCTCAGAAAGCAGATGACCAGACCAGACCAGACCAGACCAGCAGAAGAAGCCAGTGGGCTATGAGAGACTGCTGTAATGCCAATTGGAAGCCCCTTTTGGACTTTTTGCAGGAAATAGAAAAAAATGAAATTATGATATATTTGATTAGTTAAATTAATAATTATGCAAAATATGTACATTAAGATGTAGTTTAGAGTAAGAGGTTATTATATGATTCTGCTGTATAAGAAGTTGGAGGTTATTCTTTTTATATTTCTTTTTTCCTCTTTTTCTTCTCTATTTTCCACCACTTAATAAAGTTCTTAAAAACAAAAAAGAGTTTGCCGTAGAATTAGGAGCCACAGCAATGGAGCCAGAAGGAAGGAAGACCAGCTGACCCAGAAAATTGGTATGTGAGTGTCAAGTAAAGGCGACCCATGAGGAAGAGCTTCAGGACCATCAGGAGTTGGCATGCATGAAGGCCCTTGAAGAGCAACTTGGCAGAGTAGTGCACCAGGGTGGCCAAAGGCATTAAAGAGCTCCAGGTGGGAGGCGCTGAGGCAAATAGCAGTAGCCTGGGCAGTAAGTTACCCAAATCTCAACGATCACAGCCAGTGGCTTAAGTAGGCTGAAGTGAAGGTGACTTTGGAAGGCCTGGAAGTTCTGGGTACAAGGAAAAGTGTCAAGCAACACCAGAGCAGCTCTGGCACGAACTGGCCAATTGCAGCAGAGCCAGCTGGCAGCAGAGGGCAGCTTCAACTCCAGCAGCAGCGACTGCTGGTGGGGGAGGTAGTTGGAGATGCCTGGGACTGGGGCCAGGAGAAAAGAACACAGGATAAAAATCGGAAGGAACAGAGAACAAAGCACTGAGATGGAGGTGAAATGTACCAATGACGGGAACTATAGAGATTCTAGAGTGGAGGAAGAAAGGCCCATAGAAAGTTTAGAGTAGGTAAGTAGAAATCTTAGATTATGCAAGAAAACTCTAAAAAATGACATACAGTAAGAACGTAGGAAATAAAATAGAGCTATCAAAAGAAAAAAAAATATAGGCCTGAGGAAATAAACAGGAAGAGAGTGAAACTACTGTATAAAATTATAGGCAGAGTAAATAAAGAGAACTGATAGGCAGAGTGATACACAATAAGAATTGATGAGAAAAATAGAATAAGATATATAGAAGAATAGAATAGTCCATGGATATAACAGGTAGAGAAGGAAAACTTTGATGTTGTATTTTTCACTTTTATTTTTCTCAAAAAGTATTGCTTTGTGTATGTCCTGCCTGGGTATACTGTTGCTGAACCAATGACAATAACCCAGAATTTATGCGGGTGAGACCATGGCAGTGCTAAAAATCAGGGCATGTAAGAAAATCAGACAATAAGGAGATCCTTTAGTAAACTATTTTATGGGGGAAAAAGAAACATCCAATTTCAGAGTTATGACACACTGTTATAATGAAAGACATTTACAGTACAGTATTAAGAAAGCGAATAAAATTGATAGTCATTAAATAGCTTAATCCTCTAGGGACTAAATGAAGACATTCAATATGCACCGATTTGATTCTTGGGATGAGTTTTTCCTTCCCCCCTTCTCCTAAGTATTTACCACAAGAAAATGGTTTTGTATAATTTTTCCAAAGCTTATTATTTTGTTCAGCCAGATATATTAAATTCATTTCTCTTGAAGAATAGAACACTTTTTCATTGACCCCAAAAAATCATTAACATTAAAACAACTGTTCTTTTTCAAGGCAAGTTTGCTAAGTAAGATAAAGGTACTGCCTAAAATAAACCTTTTTTTCTCTAGCTTTATTCTTAATTAGAAAAAAGAGCAAAACTATTGATGAACTGTTGCAGAAATTGTGACTTCGTGTTGTTTTATATGAGAACGAAAAACATAATCCATGATAAAAAATGAAGCAAGTGTTTTTGAGACATCAATTTAATTAGCTTTTTTCATCCCTAATTGTGGACATTTTTTCCTTTGTAAGAAATAGTACTGTGAATCAGCTCCAAGTTATTCTACAGATAAATAGAATAAAAAAAAATACTAATTCTGAAACGTGTCTCCTTTGTGATAGATTCTAACAATATATTGTATAAAAGATGTTTTTATATGGATGAAATTACATCAATTGTTCATACTGCTTGCTTTTCCAAAAATGTGCTGGGGTTCTGCACAAGATTATTTCCTACCAGCATTAGAGTCTTTTTCTTCTCCCTCTCCCCCCGCCATTTTCTGTTTGGGTTTGAGGCTTGTACTCTTTCTCCTGTTCAATAAACGGGAATTAGGCAGTGGGTTGCAGTTCACACTTCGCAGGCTAGGCCCGAATCCTAATGCATCCTTTCCTGGAGCGGAGATCGCCTCGCTCCCGAATAGGAGCAGGTCGCGAATAGAAAGAGAGAAGAGAAAGCACGAGCAGACCCGTTTGAAGAACGACGGGTTTTGCAAAGCGTGGGCACGACAGCCAGAGCAGCCGTAGGCTTCGCGGAGAAGCCCAGGCCGCGAGCCCCCCACGCGCGCCGGCGGCCCT